GCTGTGGAATTATATATTACAAGTGATAACATATATTTCCAATAATAACAAAATTGCGTAATTGAACCATTTTAATTTTTTAGAATTCTATTTCGAATAAACGATACAAAACTATGCCCAATTAATTAGCAACTACCCAATTAATTGCGAGCGAAATCATATGTGTAAAATTATATGAAAAAAAGTTTATTTTTTTAGTTGCAAATTTTTTAAGATCTTTTAGTCTTTTTGATTGTAGTAATTTCGAAAATAAATATTTGAATTTTATATTGCTTATTTACTAATGTGTCATTGAAATTTATTTAGAACTCGTTATAAGTACTTCAATTTTCAACATATTTTGATTTCGAAGTAATAGGCGATAATAAATTATTTGAAGTTTAAAATGCTCTTTGCTACTTCACTTCAGCTCAAAAAATGATTTCCACGGATGTGTATTGGAATGAGTAAAATTCATAAATCGGACATTTGGCTTCAACGAATTGAAAATCGGATTTTCTTCTATCTTATCTTTAGCAATCCTATAATACAGAAGAAAAGTGAAAAAAATGGCATGATGAATTAGTGAAAAATTTTATCAAATTTAACTTAAAATCCGGTTATTTGAAAATACTTTGATCTTGATTCTTTTGTTATCCATGCAGGAATATTGAAGATATTAATTATATCAATCTGAACAACTGAAATAAAACAGTAATAAATTGTGTATGCCAAAGTGAACATTTCAATAGTGCATGTGACCGATTAATGCAAAATATTTGATAAAACTATAAGAAACAAAAAAGGAGGATTATATTTAAGAAGCATTTGAGAAAAAAATACTCGCCTAATTGGTGAACAAAATTAACATTCCATCAAGCAAAGCAAAAAAAATAAAAAGAAAACAAATTTACCACAATTGAAACAGAAAAACAATCTGGTCATTAGGACAGGTTTGCTTTATAAAATCCTCCCCAATTATTGCTTACTTACAATTTAAATCCTGAAAGTTTATTTGCTTAAATCATTATTTTCAGAAGGAAAATCTCATTAAAATAATTGGACATCATGAGTTATTGCCAATTAATCCTTCTTTCTCTCCTCGTTACAGTCATCGATTTAACGGTTGATGGAAAATGTGTTGGATGTTCCGGTACTGAAATGTATGATTTACTTTTCTCATTTTATTCATTTTTCAAAAAATTACAACTTAAAGAAGTTTATTTAGCGGAAGCAAAAAAATGTTAATTTAAAAGGTTAATACAGTTCAATTTTTACTTAGAAACAAATAGCTTATAAAGTTTTAAAAAAAGATAAGCTTTATAAGACTATTCCTTTTTAAATTGACAGTATTGAAATACTCTTATATAAAATAACACAAAAATATTTTCATTTAATGAAGAATGCATTTCAGTTAAGTAATGAAGAATGCATTTCATTAAATGTTTCCAACAATTTTGAAAGTTATAAATTTTGTAAAAATTTAAGTAAGCAAAAAGTAATTTTGTTGAAGAAGGTTAGAAAAAATTGCATTGGAAAAATTTGCATATTATTTACATTGAATGTTTAATAGATGCTATATTTTAGATATCAAAATCGAATGAAGAGAGCACTACATCCATCACTTCTTTTTCCATTTATTTTTCCTCAACCTCGAGCTAGTAACCTCAATTCACGCGACGAGAACAGGTTCAATCCATTCCTTAACCTTTTCTTTCCATTCACTCTATACAATCCATTTGACCCTTTCAATCTATTCGCTGCCTTCAATAATTTTCGAGCTAATCAATACGCAAGCACTGCATCGAACTTATTCGGGAATGTTCGCAACAATCCATTCAATGTTAATAATGGTCAAAGAACCGGTAGATAGTACAGGAACACAAAATTTTTTCAAAAAATTCAATTTTTATTGATATCTGTTCTTATGTATTTTGTTAATGTTAAAATTATCACAAATATTTGTCTATCCATACATAAGTTCATGAAAAATGCAATAATGAATTTTCTTGTGACCACTGAAAAAAGTTTCACATTCAAATGCTCTTACTTGTAGTTATTATCGTCTATTGATGATTGCGAATTTCTCTAAGTTAAATTATCATATCATTCTCTGGATGAATTTCTTAATTAAAATAGAAATCTAAATTGTTGCAGAGAAAAAATGCCATTCTGTTAACTTTTTTTTAATGTTTTATTTGGATTTCGCTCACTATTATTAATAATAAAAAAATGTTTGTTAAATATGATCATATTAGTTAGTTAAATATTAAAAACATCAAAAATTGCAGCATCTGTTTAATTAATTGATAAAAATAAAAAAAGAATAATGCAATTAACTACTGACCATTACATAAAATAGCGATGAAGTTTTAATTGCAAATGATACGTTATAGTCTCTGAACTTTTTTGATAATGGATTTCTTATATTTTTTTTTCTTAAAATTAAATAATTGCTTGTTTTTTCATTCTTATATTTTTATTACCTTTATATACATAAATATATAACCTGCTATTTCGCAGTAATTAATTAGAAACCAAGAAAAGAAAAAGATTATTGAAAAAACTGTACAAAAAAATGAAAAATTAATCAAAGAAAATTTATACAAAACGTGCTACATTCAGGAATAAAACCGGAATTTTTAAGACAAAAATGAAATATAACTTAACTATAAATTAAAAAAAGAAAAAATATTATCAACTTCATAAAAACAGCAAATATTCGTATTTGTATAGTTATTATTGTAGCGTGCATTGATATTATTTTACATTATTGATTTCAATTGATTTAAACCAATCTTAGAAATTATTTAAATTCTTAAAATCAAATATTTATAATGGCTAATTAAACAACGATAACAAAAAGAAAAAATCAAATTTCTTCCAACAAACGCAATAAATGTTTAAATGATCGCACGTGCGGCTCGTTCTTCATAAAGCGCCTGCTGCCGGTTGATACCCAATTCTGGTGCCCATCGATGATCAGCAACAAATAGGGATTTTATAGTTTTGCCCGTTCGATAAGCTTTTAAAACATGAATTAACATTGGTATAATGATAACACTCAATGGGAGAAGTGTTATCAGTGTTAAAGTGATAATATCACTGAAAATTAAAAGAATAATGAAACAATAAAATGACATTAGAAAAATTTTTTTGAAAAAATTATCAAAAAAAGAAAAAAAATTTTCTTTTTTGAAACGTTAAAATTTTAATACACATAAAGAAAGCAAAATGTTTATATTCTTATTATTTCATTACCGGATGATTATTAAAACGTATGAAAGAAGTTTACAGAATTATACATACTTGTGATTGTGATATATTACGCTTAAATGACAATGTAAATGATATGCTGTGGTTTTTGCAGAAGGCAGAATTCATTTTTTTTTTTAGTTTTACTTCAATCATTTTTCAAGTCATTGGAATAATATCATCAAAAGTTATTTTACACATTGAAATTGTAGCAAAAGGAACATTTAAAACTATATACGATAATTTTTAATTAAAATTATCTTACAGCATTATAACAACAAACTTGATAAAAAATATTCAAATTGGTACAAACCTGTGCAATCTACCACTAATGATGGTAAATAAAGCAAGCGCAACCGAAATCTGAAGGAATGCTAAATTAAATAAATATATGTTAGTTTGATGGATAAGTTAACCTTGAAAATATTGCATTTCTTTTTTTTTAAAAAAAATCATTAATTGTGTTTAGAATTATATAAAATTTGTGAAAAATAATAAAATCTTACTATGCAAAATGCTGGTGTAATAATATACCAACAAGCTGTCCAGTACCAATTCACTGGATATCCCAAATATCTGCAAATAAATTTTTAATTTTCATTCTCCACTTTTTTTTTTAATATATGAGAAGAATATAATTGATGCATAATAGCTATGTTAGTACATTTATACAATTGAAAAAAATTGCCTATTGAAAAATTTATTTACCTCCAAAAGTTATTCGGTGGTCCACCAAGCATTGTATGCAAATTGACAATTAATCGTTTCAAATAATAAATATGAATGCTTGTTAATAGCTCAAGAAATGCAAGGATTGGGAGAAGAAGCGAAAAATAGAAGTAGCGAACTTTTATATCACCAATGGTCTAAAAAATACGCACATAATTCATTAGATTCATTGGTTGTGTATTTGTGTTAGAGAGATTGATTGATGAATTTATCGTTTTCTTTATTTATTTACTTATTTGCAAATTGCTCGTATTTTTTGCAAAGAAAGAATAAAAAAATTGATATTAATCATTCTAATAAGGATATTAATCATTGTAATAAGGAAGAACTTTTTAATGATAACATTCTTTTTAATGATAACAAGGATATTAATCATTCTAATAAGGAAGAACTTTTTAATGATAACATTCTTTTTTTTTTGCAAAGAGAAAAACTTTAATTCATTGATGTTTTTGAATTTTGATTTAAAAGGTCACTTTGAACTACTTATTTGCATAATATAAAATTAGGCAATCATTTGATGATTCAATAATAGTACAATGTATTTTATAGCACAATAAGTAATTAATTACTGATAATAAAAATATGAATTATCATAAATTTCGTTTTTTAAATGCATCTATAATATAAAATTTAGAAATACAATGTAAAAAATGAATTAAAATTAAATTGCGAATTAAATGATTGATTGAAATGTTTTATAAAAATATCATTTTATTAATTTAGAAAAGTTACAAATAACAAAATAATTTACCAATCGACGATATATATAAGTGCTTAAATGCATGAATAAGAATTGTATGCAAATAATAATATTACGGGATGTTGTTTGTTCAATAAATTTAATTCGTATAACAGTTCGATACACAATCATAATGATCATTTCAATTATCACTATCTGTAATATTTTATCATTTGTTTTCGTACATCATTCATTTATCATCTTATTAATATTTTTTATTAATAGGTTGAAAATCGAGAAAAATTGAATTAGCATCAAATTATAGCTATGCAAGATTACAATGATTTTTATTTTATTAATTATTAAATGTATTTTATTTCAGATCAGTATTAAACATTAACTATGTTATACTACAAGCATAGTTCAACTTTTTCAGGAAAATATTTGGCAACAGTTCATATTTTCTGCTTGCAATATCAATGCTAATAGGTTTTTTTGTTTAGATATTTTTAAAATTAAATAATTGAGAGAGTCTCACTTGTGCACCAATTGTGGTTACAAAAAATGCAAAAAATGTGAAAGAGAGTACAATTGCGCCAAATGAAGTTTTAGCGAAGAGTATGGATAGAACGATGAAGTATATATTTTCGCCATGTTTCCAAAGCATTGTCACTAAATTAATTGGAATATTTTTTTTCTTTCAATAGATTGGCTTAGATGACAATTGTCTATTAACTATATTTAATTGCTGTGGCATTGAGAATAATACAACAAATAAAAATTCGGACAGTCTTGTGCTCGAGGCTTGTTTATTATTATCTAAAATTAGACATAATTATTATAATAATTTAAATACTTTATCTATTTTTTTTAGCTAAAATAATTGATATGTTTGAACAAAGTAAATATAAGTTATAAAAGATAATTATATTTTTTCATTTACTCTCAATATAAGTTAATTGTATTTCATTTACTCTCAGGAAACATGCACTTACAGCCTTTTCCAATGCTCATCGGAAACATTAATTCGACAGCTGCGCCACTTACAGAAAATACAAAAAAGCAACCAAATAAATTAATTATCACTATATAAATAATAACCAAAAATGTATCACTACAATATGTAATGGATATCAGTTCTCGTTTTAAATTGGATTTTTGAATTTTTTCAAAGTGATAATTGTAGTAGTTTATTGCTGAACTAAAAATAATTGTTGATAACTTAATTCTTGTAATTGTTTAGACGAAAATTCCTTTCTCAATGATAATTGACGAAGAAAAATTGTACCGCATGAAGTTATTTCGGAAATCCTTCATTGCTGCTAATGTTATATATGTGCCATCCAACAAGTTTGTTGCTATTATAGCCTTAAAATGAAAATGGATAGATATTTTCTGTTACAGGATTTATGCTGATTATTTTTATTCATTACCATTGAAAGGCAAAAAAAATATCCTCAATATTCAGGACATCTGTTAGATTTGAGTGATCAAAGTCTTAATGTTTTTAACAGTAAGATATATTGCTTTATTTTAAATAATTTGTTAATTTTTCTTTCTTTTGTCTGCTTATCCTTATCAAACAATGGTAAATAAAATTCAGATTTTATTGAAGGGAATTTTGTTTCAACTAATTTTACACGTTAATAATGGATGGAATCTACTAGAAAAATCAAATTCATTTCACATTTTAATTTAAGGAAGATTTGTCATTTATCAATATTTCTATTGATATTCGGGATATCATAATATTGCTAGTAATTTAATTTCATTTTATAATTTTTGGCTTCTCTGAAAAAAGATGAAGAAACCTGAAGTGCTGCAATGACCCATACTTTGAAATCCAACAATTTCTGTAAGTCTGGTGAAAAGCCTTCTGCTATCGAAGCAAACGTATTTCGATAACCAGCTTTTGCAATTGCATAAATAATGCAAACTAGCATGCAAAATTGCGGAAATATCAAAACAAATCGAGCAATCTGTAACAAAGTCAAGGGTTGCAAAAACTAGACGAATTGAAATGAATAATGCCTAAAATTGGAACTTTATTTTTGGCCAAATTAATTTGCTTGTAATAAATTTGTTATTGTATTAATATTATAAATAAATGGCTGGGCTAAAAATATTTCCTCATAACCAGAATGACGAACCAGAATCTCATAACCAGAATGCTTCTTTTTTCCTCAATTTTTTCTTTCTTATTTTCCTAAAATAAAATGCTTAATTTGTCACTATCAAACTAAATAAAGTAGGCGATTGAAATGCAGTTAAATCTAATCGGGGTTCATTTGTCACCAATTCAACTAATTTGCAAAAAAAGAATTTAATTAACCTTAGCATAGAAACGAATTCCAAAAATAGCAATTACAGCGATGATTGCATGCTCGATTGTAGCCGAAGCGAAGAAAAATTCATTTATTGTTCCAGCCTTATTTATCTTTTCCATCCTAAATATCAAAAAATAAGCCGTATTTTAAAGGAAGAATAAAATAAGTATATTAATAATGATTGAAAAATATTTTATTTGACATCTGTTTATTTGAAGCTGTTTTACGTAAAATAAATTTTTATAAATTTTACTCGCATACCAATAAATATTTGGCGGAAATTCCCGAAGTGCCTCAGAAGTTGATGTCAGAGCTGTCACAATTTGTTCCCATGTATAATTCGAATTTAATTTTGTTTGATTATTAAATAAATTGTAGCAGTTTGAGTAATACTGATAATTACCGACTGCTTTGTTACAATTCACATACGGATCGTAGCAAGATGCTAAAAAAGTTTGCTAAAAATCGATAATGATATTAATTAGGATAATTATCAATGTTATCATGAAATAAAATTTTTTTTCCTAAAATTGCATTCAAAGTTACATTTAAATTTTATCTTTAATTTCTGTTTCACTTTTGAATTAAATTTAAAATTGAAAAAAGATTTCATTTAAAAAAACACTGATAAATTCGTAAATCGAAAATAAAATAAACATATTTCAAAATTAATTATGAAATAAAGATAGAAAGGAAAATGAGTTTTTGCCTCAAATTTCAGATGACAATATTGTTATGTGAAATTTTTATCAAAAGTATAGTTTAAAATAACATTTACGGAAGTGACAAATAGCCATAATAGCTCAAACAGAAAATATCAACAAATATCAAATTTGATTTTCCGAAGAAAAATTTTTTTTACTACTAAACAAAAGAAGCGATAAAAGATGTTACAGTGACTTTCGTAGACACATTCCAGCCAGGTAGTTTGTGATGTGGAACTGAATGCAACAATTATACTTTTAAACATGTAAAAAATACCCATTATCGAATATGATAACAGGAGGGTTTTACAAATAGCCGCTGATAGCATTGCAACGCCAATTCCTAAAATACAAAAGCATGAATTTCCGATCATTTAATGTTAAAAAATAAAAATGAAATATGCGGTTAGTAATAGTTGACGAAAGAAAGTGCGCAAAATGTCAACGGATCTTACGGATATGATAAATTAAAAACGCTGACGTCATCTTTCAAATACTATTATAACGAAAATATTTTTCAAATACTATTATTACAGGTAATCATAATACTTGAACAGATTTCATTAATGGATCATGTTTCTTTTCTTTTTTTTTCAATTTATATAAAATTAAAAAATTAGGTTGCTAGAAAAGTTTCAAAAATTTTCATAAAATTTTTAAACTTGTTATCATAATTAAGATGTACTCTATATATTACATCACTAAATAATACTTTACCTCCAAAAGCAGGACAAAGATGTTGGAAAAGTTCTATTGATGGAAGTGAACTGTATTGACCTATAGCATTTTCCAAATAAATAATTGGCGTAGTGATAAAAATAAGGCATAAAACATATGGAATAAAAAATAAAACTGAAATATGCAATAAAATTAGATTTTAATGTTTCATACGTAAATATTTGCATATAATGTTCATTTTTATATCATACATAAAATAAAAAATTTTATTAAATTTATAATAAACAAAATGAAAATATTAATTACTTCCACCACTTTCTGAACAAACAATCGGAAATCGTAACATATTACCAACAGTAACAATAAGAGATAATGTGATAAAGATATGATCAATATAATTGGCGAAACGAAATGTCGTTTGAGTAAATTGCTGTCGTATTCGTTGCACCTAACAATTATTTCCATTTATTACCTTTGAAATTTTCCCATACAAAAAAAAGTTAGGATAAGAAATTTCAAAAAATATTTTGATTTATTCATATGAATTTACAAATGATTGATTACTTAATATACGATATATATATTTTTTTAAAAAATAATTGAAAATCATTAAACAATTTTGTTTAAATAATAAGAATTTATAAAAATGCATGAGTAAAGAAAAAACAATGAATTACGGTGTAATCATCGATTCCGACAAATTGTTCCACTTCTGCTTCCTCAAACATGGCTTTTGTGATATTTTCAAATCTCTCCGGTTTGATCTTATCTGAATAAAATGAATTTTACAAATTATAAAGATCATGCTATACTATTATTGAACTGATTTGGATGAATTCGTACCAAAATTGAGATGATTTTTTTTTTATTTGAAAATTATCTAAAAATAAATTTAATTGAGGAGTGTTGTAACACAATGATGTATGCATTTTAAGAAAAGTTGAAATAAACCGAAATCAATCGAATTGAATCCATTAGTCAAATTAATGAGGCAAAAAATTGAAAAATTTAATTATGGATATTTTAAATGGCTGGCGAATCTATGACTTATTAGTATATTCTAGATACTTTCGTATTAATTAATCGAACCAAGCTTGTGAATGTGGTATTTCCGTAATGCTAAAATAATAATTAAAAATTGAAAAATAATCACCTTCTTCAGTTTTAGCAAAAAATGTTATCCCTTTCCGAGACGCTAATATTTGCTTTTCGAGAGCGACACCATCCTCCTCCTCGACTAGCTTCTTAGATAACTTCTTGGCCGACTTTTTTGACTTCTTAGCTGACTTCTTGACTGACTTTTTAGATGATTTCTCAATTGACTCCTCGGTTAACTTTTTAGATGACTTCTTAGCTGACTGCTCGGCTAACTCCTTAGATAACTTCTCGGCTGGCATTATTTTTCAAATTTTTGTTGATATTATTCTGAAACTTTTTAAAATCTTCTAAGAATGCGAATTTTCAGATCAGACTTTAAGAATTTTCGTTCTTTTTAAATTATTTTAAAATTGATTTCATTAAAAAAATTGGAAATGTAGCAGAATCAAACAATCGTTAATTAGAATAAACATTTACTGTTTTACACATACTTAGTAAACAAATAGTTGCTTCACTTGAAGCTGATAAACAACCCGCCGGATAATGTGGTAAATCGAATGATTAATGTTGATTAATAATCTTTCCGGATTTTATAAATGAAAGTTAAAAGTTATGCAAAAGTAATTATGAAAATTTTGCAAAAGTATTTTTTACTGAAGTTAATTGCATAAAATAATAATAAATATGAACACGAGAAATAGAAAGAGAGAAAATAAAATTACATTTAACGAAAAAAACGTTATTTTATTTTCCTGAAAAATAATAAAACAATGAAAAAAAATCGAATTAAGTCATCAGTAGAAATGCAGTGATTATTTTAATATTGTTACTATTTTTAATAATGCAAAAGTATTTATTCCTAATATTTTATTTTGATTCATAATTAAATGAATAAACAAAATTGTCTCAAATTTACAGTAAATTTAATCAAAAATCCATATTTAAAATAATGAAATAGCAATGAAGGAAGAAGGAAAAAGATTGTATTTATCAAAATGAATTAAATCGCAAATGGTAATTGAGAAAAATTAAAATTATGTTCTATTAATTATCCTGATCTTAATCTTACCAGTATATATTTTTTTCGCAATAAATTAACAATTATCATTAATTTGCAATAAATTAACAGTTACTAAATTAGCCATTTAATAATTAATTATAGAGACAGGCTTTGTTATTCAAATGATATAATGAATTTATACTTATTAATATATAGTTTTTTCTTCAATTTAATCGGTTTATAATAAGTTTCTTTTTGAGTACAGCAGAATGAAGTACGCTGATTTGTTTAAATTTATACTTAAAAATTAAATGAGGTGTACAGTGGCATTGTTTAGTGTAGGTTTTTATACCACTTTTCTAAATGAACACTTTTTTAAATTTGCATAAAATTTTCTTGCAGTAGTTTAAATGTGTAAATTAATATTAATCTATCTTTAGTAATCCGTTGCACGAACATGTTTTTTGGTTATTATAGGCGCATTTGTTTGCATTGTTGAAAATACTTTCATTTGAATTTACACAAATTAAGTAGAGCAATCATCGATAATGAATTGATTACTTCGTTGAATTTCACTCTTCTTCCTGGCCATCTCATTTTTTTTTGTTCATTGAAATTTTCAATTTTTTTTCAATGATCTGGTACTAATCTACCAACAAAATGCAACGTATAATTTAAGTAACATTAGTAAAAAATATGCTAAAGTATGGGAATGCTGAAATATAAGTTGGAACATTATTTTGTTGAAATGAAAAGTTAAAAATTTCAAAGCTCATTTTCAATATTTGCGATTCGGATTTTCCAAAAAAACACATAAATTAAATTAAAAATAAGTTTTTCATATGATTTGAGTATATTAATTTTGGCAGACATAGCAATCATTGTAAAATGAATTATGAAAACAATTATCATCATGTTAGTAAAAATCTGAAATTTGAATTAACTCTAATGTATAAGTTATGATCCATCCATTGTTGCATCTTTTATAACAGTCAGGTATTCAAAAATTTTCAAATTACATTTAATCAAAACCATTGCATTTTGCGCAACACAACAGTTTTTCCTCGCTATAAAGAGCTGATTTTGGATGAATGCAAAGAATTCTTACGGTAGATTGTTTAGCATAGGAAAAAAAAATTGTCGCGAAAGTCGCGAAATTTCAAGAATATTATAAATGGTCGAATTTTTATGGATATATTTTATATATATATATTTTTATATATTCATAGATATAATTGTAATAAGGAATATTACTGT